TCGGGCAATTGCAGTTAGAGTGCAAAGAAGTGTAGACACTGTGGTTAGGTGTTGTCAGGCATGGCTTCGAGAAGGCCGTACGCAAAGAGCAAGGGGCACTGGACGCCGCCGTAGAACAACAGACCGTGGAGATCGCCGCCTAAGATTATTGGCCTTAAGGGACCGTTTCTCCACTACCAGGTCCATTGCAACTGAATGGTTTGCAGAACACGGAAGACCTATTGGTATGCGAAGTGTTTACCGACGAATGAGAAGTTTTGGCTTGTTTTCATACCGGCCACACTGGGTCCTCCCTTTAACTCGAGAACACCGACGTAATTGCCTTGAGTGGTGCAGACAACGGTCACTCTGGGATCAGGAATGGAACAGTATTGTCTTTAGTGACGAGTCTTGATTTTGTTTAGGCATGCACGATGGTCGTGCCAGGGTTAGAAGGCGACATGGTGAAAGGAGGAATCCACAGTTTTTTGTTGAAAGACATGTTCATCACACTGTTGGAGTTATGGTTTGGGGTGTTATAGCTTATGGTTCCAGGTCACCTTTAATCTTCATCAGCGGTAACATGAACGCGCAGCGTTATATCCACGAAGTTCTAGAACCCCATCTTTTACCCTATCTTGACACCTTGGCAGATCCAACTTTCCAACAAGATAATGCCCGACCACATGTTGCAAGAGTCACGATACACTTCTTTCAACATAATGATATCACATTGTTACCATGGCCACCAAGATCTCCCGACTTATCCCCAATTGAGCACGTGTGGGATATGATGGATAGGAGTTTGTTCAATTTGCAACGTCCTCCTCAGACTCTAGAAGCACTTCGAGAGGAGTTGGTGGTTGCCTGGAATGAGATATCACAGGAGGACATTGACCACCTGATCAGAAGCATGCCTAGGCGCGTTGGAGAATGCGTAGCACATCAGGGTGCATCCACACATTATTAAAGGTCAAAGGGCTTTAAAGCAGTGCAATCATTTTGAAATTTTTATCATTTACTTATTATGCTTCATTAACTACTTATACAAAATTTTATTAAAATAAAATCATTTAAACTGGGTGTTCGGATTTATATGTCACTTAGTATATAAGAGATATAAGCAACACCTTGTATGTTGATGACAGAACACCTTGGATCCTTTCATGATATTTTTTGATGAGAAAGAAATACTGACGTTGTTTTTTGAACCACCCTGTATACATCGTTCGATGTCGTATAATGCTGCTCCTACCTATACACCTTTTAATAAGCGATATATAGCATCGGGAAATGCGATATGGGTTAGTGATACCATCCATGTGGGATGCGTATTTCAGCGCGGAAGGAAGCTGTAATCGGCAATTTTATTTGTTGTCAACTTTTTCCGCTTGAGGACATTTTTTGACTGGAACTGATGACGGTACTTTACGTGTTCTGTGTTATATTCGAGAGACTGCCGGTTATTCTGGAATACCCTGTATACGCGAGCCTACAACACTCTCTTCCTGATGTAGAAGAGCTATGAGGGGCAAAGCCCGTTGACATTGCGGTAGAAAGGGCCCAAAAACTATCCGTTCGAGAAAATTCGGAAATTGTGGCCAGTACTGCAGGCCCTCTCTGCGCCTTGTTATGTGGATTTGAATAAAATTTTGAAGTGTAAACATTTGCTGTATTGCTAGTACATCGAGTCCAATCCAGTGAAATCACTGTTGATATTGGGGTTCCTCAAGGTTCCATTTTAGGGCCTGCTTTATTCATTCTCTATATGAATGAGATTGAGTCAGAGTGTGTGGATGCGCTTTTCACGCTATATGCAGATGATGCATCAATATTAATCTCGAACAAATTGGAAAATATGTTGAATGATGCATAGAAGTTTGTATAACGTTATCAGTGTTTAAATGTTGTTTATTATCTTGTTATATTTATCGTTTTCTTGTGTCCCCGTATATAGCTGCTCTGTTAAACCTCGTTTGCCCGAAGAAACATAAATTATTATTATATTGTAGCAAGTTCATTCTTGTAACTGTTATTTTAAAAGAGAAAGATCCCAAACACGTAACAAAATCGCAGCTCCTAGCGACAAATAAAGAAGTAATCGTGAATAACAGTAATAATTTGCAGTAGCACGGTACTGCTGATAGTAGTAATGTCCGTCGCAACATGCAAAAGTCGAAAAACGAAAGTAAATCATTTTCCACGGCTAGTTAACCTTTGATACGGCGTGGAACGCTCAAAGCCCCAAAGTGTAGAGAACGGTAATAGTAGTGCCACTCACAGTCGACACGAAAATCTTACCCTCTTGGAAGAGATTTTATAACTCATTTTATTTTTTTGATAATCACATTTGTGATATACTCCAGCAAAATTCTTCTTCTGGTTCCAACATTTCCTATTACTTGATTAAACTAACTTTTAGTCCTTATATCCGTTGGAAGATGACAACATCTTTTTTGTGGTACCTGAATCTTGGTATATGGCATAACATACGTCTCAAAAGTTTTGCACAAAATATTTATCGATTTTTTACAATGAAGAAATTTATTTAAACACTAACTAGATATCATAAATTACAACTCAATACTTAACTAAACTATACTGGTCTCCTGGACGTAATTCAGATCAATTTCTCTCCGTTTTTTCTTAAATTCGCCGTCTTAATTGTTCTTCATGTTAGGCTTTCCAGCCTCCATGATAAACTTTCCTAGACAGTAAAGCTCAAAAATCCTCTACTGGGCGAACCTGGGAGAAGTCTGAAGGACTATCGTTTTTGGGAAGGAAAGGTACCCATGGTGTGTTGTTTAAGCCATTATTTACATTATCTTGAGGCAGAATGAATATATCTGGAAAATTAATACAGTGAACCTCCGGTAATCCGACAAACTTTATGCAGGGCAGTGTCGGACTATCGAATTTGTCGGATTATAGAGCACTGCCTAAGACCCCCTATAGTCCGGAATTTTTTTACAAAAGAGTACCTTGTAATCCGACAAATTGCATATCCATATAGTTTATGTATATCGAATTTAGTAAATTGAATAACAATAGAGAGCTTACGTTTTATTATAAAATTAAGCATAAATGCACATACATATGTACCAAAATAATCAAGAATTATTAATCAAAATCATTAATGAATTTATCATATCATGAAGTTTGGAAATATTCATCGATTTTTTGTTTGTTTGTTTAAGGCTGTTATAACGCGCGATCAGAGCTTTGTCCCTCAGTCTTCTCAAAAGTAAAAGTTCGTTGTAGGATGTACCATTCTCTTCAGCCCATTGTAAACCTATCTCAAAGGCGTTAATTGCGTCTTGTGCTGTGACTTGTGGAGCAGTTGCAATCACGTCGTCGATATTTTCCTGATTGTTTGTTGTATAATTAGAAACCTCTTTTATAATCTCTTCGTCAGACATTTCATGAAAAACATTTTCCTCTTTATCCATTCCACGGCACCAGATTTCCAAATCTTCCGGACTTATCTGTGTTTCAGTAGCGACTTGTTCTATGACTTCCGAAGTAACACTGATTTGTGGTACGTTGCTAGGAGTGCTGACTATATCTGGCCATAACTTTTTCCAAGACGATTTAATAGTTGATGACGGTAACGCATTCCACGACTGACAAAGAGCAAAAACCAAGTCTTTCATATTAAAGTTTGGTCCATTGGTTGAACCAGTGCAGTGCAATTTTGCGGAAGAAACATCGCAGTGATGCATTTACCCTCAGTTGTTAGTTCTTCTTCAGACGGATGACCGGGAGCGTTATCAAAAAGCAACAACGCTTTTTGAGGAAAATTATGATCTCTTAACCAATTCCTAACTTCAGGTACGAAGCATTCATCAAACCACTTTTTGAAAAGGACTATTGTCATCCATGCACTTTTTTGTCCGTAATAGTGTACAGGTAAATCAATGTTTTTAAATACCCGCGGTTTATTAGATTTCCAACGACCATCATCTTAAGCGCGTGTGTGCCCGCAGCGTTAGGCACATGGTAGAATGGTTACACGCTCTTTACTTACTTTTCGTCCAGGTACGGATTTTTCGTTACAAGAAACGAAAGTTTTGTTAGGCATCACACGCCAAAAAAGCCCTGATTCGTCTGCATTGTACACGTGTGACGGATCAAGCTTTAAATCGTTCACCTTTTGCAAAAATCTTAATTTAAAGAGCTCTATGCAGGTGGCATCGTTAGAAAGTTTCTCTCCTGTAATAGTCATTAAATGTATGCCATGATGACTTTTAAAACGTTCTAGCCATCCTTTGCTGGCCACAGTTATCGGGGGCCACTGTAATTCTGTTGGACTATGTTATGACTAGGAATGAATTTTGTAAGTGATAACTATTTGTATAAGTCTTAAAACTTTTTTGTCGACATACATGAACCTTAATGCTATAGTAAATAGCAGTTTTTAACTATGAGAACGATGTCATCTGGCGATTTCCACGCTTTCATCAGAAAAATGACACGTTTTTTTATTTTCTGGTAAAGCTTCAGGTGCCAACCGAAACGTGCAAAAGTGATTTTACTTCTCCTGGTCTGTAACCGTCAAACGTATGGTACAAACGCTATAATTTGGCCACACCTTCCTCGTAATATAATCCATGCAGCATGGGCATAACTTTCTTACGGGACCCATAAAACTTTAGATCGGTTCATTAGGATATGATGGATCTATATATGGACACACTCAGTCGTTTTTGCTATAAGGCGTTGCGATACTTGACAGGGTCGCCACAGTCGACCAAAACAGGAAAAAACGTTCAAAAATATCGATGAATCTCGTCAAGTCTAACCTCAGAAATCCAACATTGTTTTTCCTTTCCTGTACGGTCAATCCAATCCACGGCTTTGCTGACGACAGCACAGCAGAAAATTCAATCCAACATCAGTTTTATCTATGACGAACATCGTCGTTGACATTATATGATCAAGAGGAGAAAGAAAATAGCCACAACTACGATTTCATACAAACTTTAAAGTTGAAGACTGAAAAAAGACTATTACTTTAACAGAAAGCAATAGAAGACCTACTTAAAGTAGGCAAAGACAAAGACGAATATATTAAGAAACTTCAGAGGAGTACCACTGATATAAAGAACGATGTGACTGATGCTGGAAAGGAAGACGAAAATAAAAAAAGGGAATTATTAATATTCGGAGAAGAAATCTACATGTGCAAATTAAAGAAAATGAGAGGTAACTATCCAGGCTAATGAGGATGAACTATTACGGAAAAACATTATAGTGTCGATAGAAACACTAACTGAGAAAAACAATTTTTATAGTGGAGAAATGAAGGCACTACGAAACCATATTGCATTGATGAAGGAGAATATTTATTTAATTACGACATATATCTTGCGGCCAGAAAGTCCCATCTGCAAATCTTCTCTGGAATGTGATAGGATGGATGTTTCGATTAAAGGGCAGCATGGCAGAACGCGTTCGTGCTATCAAGAGCAACAACATGAACCTGTATAGGCATTCCCTGAATAATTGAGATTTGTCGATCATGGATCTCAGGTTGTTTTTTTTCTAGAATCTCAAAAGGTCCTAAACGATCAAGTTTTCTGAAGTCGCTGTTGAAGAACTCATCGTCATAGTCATCGTCTTCGTCTTCGTCTTCGTCATCGTCATCGTCATCGTCATGGTCATCGTCATCGTCATCGTCTTCGTCTTCGTCATCGTCATCGTCATCGTCTTCGTCTTCGTCATCGTCATCGTCATCGTCATCGTCTTCGTCATCGTCTTCGTCTTCGTCTTCGTCATCGTCATCGTCGTCAGTCAATTCTATTCGATTCGTTATTATCCGGTAGACAAAAATATGCATTAGATTCGTCAGGTACAAACAAGCAATATAAAATATGTATTTAGACATCAACAAACTCAGACACACTGTACGGACATGTATACAACCAGAATTTTTTAAGCATGTTTTGAACTTTTCTAATGACTTGCACAATTTTACTTCATTAGGCAACTTATTATAAATTTTTCGACCCAAACCACTGGGCGACTTCTTACCGTTTAAGTATTTTGCAAAGGGCACAAATGCCTAGGACAAAAATTAAGTAAATCTTTGGTAAACGTGAACTTATATTTGTTTTTGTCTACATGGATTGGCATGGAAAGGTCCTAAACGATCAAGTTTTCTAACAGGGTTATGATTTTTTAGAGCCTATTTTCTGGATCAGCGCGTCAAATCATCACGGTATTCCAGATTTCGTTCGCTCGAGCGATGAAAACCGAACATCCTGCATTGAAAACTTTGGAGTATAAAAAATCGTACACGCCGCTGTGCAATATTATAACTGTTCGCCGGGTAAGTGCGGTTTCTTGTGACGTGATGACAATTTTGTTCGAAGAGAAATTTCTATGATACAAGGAAACAGCAGAACGATGTCCATATAAGTTGGGTTACAGATCCCTAAATAGATACATATTAGTAATATTAATGTCACAGTTAGAACGCGCGGTTAAATGGGACTTGTCAGATGTCGCGTGATATCATCGAGTTTTTTTTGCGAATGTGAAAGTTCAAATTCGTCTGATGAAAAGCACACTCAATACTCGCTTCAATTCAATCCTTTAAGAGCTTGTTTGCAGAAATCCAAAAAAGACAATGATGACATGTATCAGCGATAAAATAAAAAAGCAACCGTAAACATGAAACAAGATACACAAGATCAATAAACATCTTTACAATCACATATTGAAAAAGCACAAACACGAAGTTAAAAGAACTACTGAAGTTGTGAGAAGTCGCTGTTGAAGAACTCATCGTCATCGTCATCGTCATCGTCATCGTCATCGTCTTCGTCATCGTCATCGTCATCGTCTTCGTCTTCGTCTTCGTCATCGTCATCGTCATCGTCACCGTCATCGTCATCGTTATCGTCATCGTCATCGTCATCGTCATCGTCATCGTCATCGTCTTCGTCATCGTCATCGTCATCGTCATCGTCATCGTCTTCGTCTTCGTCATCGTCATCGTCATCGTCATCGTCATCGTCATCGTCATCGTCATCGTCATCGTTATCGTCATCGTCGTCAATCAATTCAATTCGATTCGTTATTATCCTGTAGACAAAAATATGCATTAGATTCGTCAGGTACAAACAAGCAATATAAAATATGTATTTAGACATCAACAAACTCAGACACACTGTACAGACATGTATACAACCAGATTTTTTTAAGCATGTTTTGAACTTTTCTAATGACTTGCACAATTTTACTTCATTAGGTAACTTATTATAAATTCTTCGACCCAAACCACTGGGCGACTTCTTACCGTTTAAGTATTTTGCAAAGGGCACAAATTCCTAGTACAAAAATTCAGTAGATCTTTGGTAAACGTGAACTTATATTTGTTTTTGTCTACATGGATTGGCAAATCGTATATAATTAAGTAGGTAGTGTTAAAATTGTCATCGTTATCGTGTGTAATCCCTATGACAGAATTCTCTTTCTTGTTTCTTGTTTTTTTTTTTGAATCTCAAAAGGTCCTAAACGATCAAGTTTTCTAACATGGTTATGATTTTTTAGAGCCCATTTTCTGGATCGGCGTGTCAAATCACCACAGTATTCCAGATTTCGTCCGCTCGAGCGATGAAAATGGAACATCCTGCATTGAAAAACTTTGGAGTATAAAAAATCGTACACGCGGCTGTGCAATATTATAACTGCTCGCCGGGTAAATGCGGTTTCTTGTGACGTGATGACAATTTTGTTCGAAGAGAAATTTCTATGATACAAGGAAACAGCAGAATGATGTCCATATAAGTTGGATTACAGATCCTTAAAGAGATACATATTAGTAATATTAATGTCACAGTTAGAACGCGCGGTTAAATGGGACTTGTCAGATGTCGCGTGATATCATCGAGTTTTTTTTGCGAATGGGAAAGTTCAAATTCGTCTGATGAAAAGCACACTCAATACTCACTTCAATTCAATCCTTTATGAGCGGGTTTGCAGAAATCCAAAAAAGACAATGATGACATGTATCAGCGATAAAATAAAAAAGCAACACTAAACGTGAAACAATATACACAAGATCAATAAACATCTTTACAATCACATATTGAAAAAGCACAAACACGAAGTTAAAACAACTACTGAAGTTGTGAGAAGTCGCTGTTGAAGAACTCATCGTCATAGTCATCGTCTTCGTCTTCGTCTTCGTCATCGTCATCGTCATCGTCATCGTCATCGTCACCGTCATCGTCATCGTCATCGTCAACGTCTTCGTCTTCGTCTTCGTCTTCGTCATCGTCATCGTCATCGTCTTCGTCTTCGTCATCGTCATCGTCAACGTCTTCGTCTTCGTCTTCGTCATCGTCATCGTCATCGTCATCGTCATCGTCATCGTCATCGTCATCGTCTTCGTCTTCCTCTTCGTCATCGTCTTCGTCTTCGTCATCGTTATCGTCGTCAGTCAATTCTATTCGATTCGTTATTATCCGGTAGACAAAAATATGCATTAGATTCGTCAGGTACAAACAAGCAATATAAAATATGTATTTAGACATCAACAAACTCAGACACACTGTACAGACATGTATACAACCAGAATTTTTTAAGCATGTTTTGAACTTTTCTAATGACTCAGCGATAAAATAAAAAAGCAACCGTAAACATGAAACAATATACACAATATCAATCAACATCTTTATTATCACATATTGAAAAAGCACAAACACGAAGTTAAAAGAACTACTGAAGTCACTGTTGAAGAACTCATCAATCTTGTAGAATGCTTCATTTTCATTGTAAAAGGCTCGTCGGTGAAGAGCTTGACTTTATCTGGAATTGCATTATACATTATATGTTGAAGCGAATTCACTGGTAATTGATACTGTTTCTAGTAGTTTGCAGACTTTGTTGAGGTAAATTTAACTTGTGTTTCTATTCTACTACCAAATTTTTAGATACCCGGTCGATCAAATGCTGTCCGACAAACTATAACTCAAATTAGAAAACAACGCGGTGGTTAGATACGGATCTCTTGTCGCTGAGGACTCGGGCAGAGGTAAACCACCCCTAGCGTCGTGCATGCCGGCATAATGGGATCAAGAGGGCTGCGATTATGCATGGCGTGCTGTTGTTATCGCCGCACTCTTGATGGAATATTTAAAAGGTTTTGTGTCGCTGAGCGAGCTTGAACACGTTCGTGTCCTACGGGTAATGAGTGTGTTGGTATGCGACGAAAAGGAAAATAACGCTCGAACGGCAAAGAGGATGTTATAACACAGAATATGATATCGATCTCTGGATTCATTTACAACGATTTTAAATAAACAAAATTTCCAGAACATGGACTACAGCAGGATAGTAACTAAGTCAACTCCCAACTGGGATAACAACGGTTACAAAGCTATTTTTATAGAACAACAATGCAGCTGTGTGGCGACGAGGACGGCAGGGCAATAATATCTGTTTGAACTAACAAAATCTGTTCGTGCCAAATCAAGTCTTCGAAGAGGCAATTTCTCTCGCTCTAGTACAGACGAGAGCTGCAAACTGGAACAATACACTTAATTGGTCTTATTTCAAAACCGCCGTTCTCATATACATACAAAGATACAGATATGACACACATATACAATGTTCGAGATGCGGCGAAACGGGCGAATCTCGGGTCGCAGTGCCAACTTCGATTGGCGAGATGCTGCTACGATAAAAGATTCGCAAAGCGGGCCAGCGTCGAGCGTTTTTATGTACAAAAAGTTTAAGTATAATAGAAGTGATGCATTTACTGGCAGTTCAGTTTTTTTTTTTGAAAAATTTAGGCCTACGCGGTATAAAAAATGGCCTCCATCATTCCACCCTCCATAATCATAGATGACATCTCTATCTTCACACTCCGCACCTAACAAATTTCGCTAACCTCCGTGAAAGTTTACCCGAGTTGAAAATGAGTCGCCCTTTTCGCCTTGACCAAACTGGCGGACGCGGAATTTAATTATCGAAATCATGTCCCCGAGGCCCACTTCGAGGTCCGATCAGCCCTAATGACGTTTCGAGGAAGTGATTTCCACTCTCCACGAAGGGTGGACTCTGACGATCCCTTATGTCGTTTTTGTTCGGTGGCAAACGGGGCGCACAGGCGTTCGATTTTCCAAGGGCTATAACTAATTCATTTGAAATTACTACTTTATATATATCTGAACAGCATCAAGCATGGATATTGTAGTTGAGTCGGTAGTACCTGAGCAGTACTCGATTTCAATATTTCCTCGCCAAAGGCGTGGGAAGTAAAAAATGAATTTTCGTTTCATAAATTTGTTCTACAACATTCCCTTCAACAGTCTATCAAATTGTGAGTCCGTCTTATCTGAACACAACAACAACATTGGAGTGATTATGTTCCGACCTCGTCTCGTAAAAAGAACAGGTGTAGTACCCCGTTTCTCGGCCAAACCCACGAGTTCAATATATTTCTGTTGGGATGGTATCAACCTGTAAAGCCCTTCAAAGACCATCTTATGCCTGCATCGTTAGTAGCATTTTGGGTGAGAGACTGATAGCTGACTTATAGCAAATCAAACAACTATATCTTAATCTCTTATCAGACTGTAAGGTAGGAGTTCGTAAGCCAAGGCCGGAGAGGAGGAAGATGGTGGGCGCAGTGAGCCACTTTTCTTCGCTCTGTGCTCGTTTTGAACTGGTGGCTTTGGCAGGAAACGGGGTACTACACATATTATAATTACGAGACGAGGCCGGAACATAATTACGATCGAACATCACTTACAGGTACAGGTACAGGTATAAAAGCATGTTCAACATTAATCCTGATATGAGCTCATTAATATCATTGAACAAGTAAAAAATCGAAGAGTCATCTTCCAACCTTCCACATTTTACTATTATTATAACATTATCGAAAATACTTTCATCAAAACACTATGAATAGCTTGCTGAGAACTGAGGGCAAATAACGAAATCCAATACGTTTTTAAGAGAGTTAAAAAGCTTGATGCTTCATATGTATGTACCGCAAAGTCTGATAACGCAAATTGCATTTGTGCGTTACGATACATACTAATACCCAGATAAAAAATAACCATAATCTGCGGTGGATTTCACCTGGTCATTTTGAATATCAAACGCTGCTAACTTTCACTACTTTGTGACAATGACGCTCGTTTTGTTAGGAAAAACTGTGTAACTGGTTGTTAATTATAGAACAAACGGGTGGCTTCATGATGTGAAAAAAGGCCGACGACACATATGCTTAATGTAGTGATCAGCCTAGACTAACGAAGCCAAACATCGTTTATAGAGTTATCAGATTTCTGGGAAGCGGTATGTAGATTTAGACGTTGTTGGTTGCCCAATAAACACATGTAGGACACGACATCTCTGATTCATTGCATGTGATTAGGCATCTTATTCAGCTGATGTACTGAAGCTTCCAAATTAACCTACGACTGATAAAGATAACATGCCTAGATTTATTATTAAATTGTTGTATATATAAATAAATAAATTAAGCATTTCTAACTTTGGAATCTTAAACCTTGAAACCTTAAAATGATTGATAATCGTTCACGTCATCTACTGCTATTATATCCTTACATGTAAAGCTTTCTTATTTTACAACGACTAAAGGACTACAATCGCTGAGGAATAAGCAGTGA